TGAAACAATTTACAACATTTCAAAAAACTCACAAAAACAAAGTACAGTGCAAGAATGATACATCGTACATCTACCGGGACATCATAGCTACAAAAAAATTTCTTCGAGATAACAAACAATTATTAGTGTGTAAGGCAGATAAAGGAAACATTTCAGTGGTTTTGTTAAAAGAGGAGTATGATAAAGAAGCAAAGAAAATTCTCAGTGATGAATCTCTATATGAAGAATTGGCATCGGATCCGAACAACTATCACCATAGACAAGTTTTTAAATTTATAAATTTATTAGAGAAAAGGGGACATATCAATAATACCATATCATTAAAGTTAAAAGTACAACATCCTTTAACCCTAAAGTTCTATTGCCTTCGAAAGATCCATAAACCTAATTGCCCATTTAGACCAATTGTTTCCTACATTGATTCGCCATACTACTTCTTAGCAAAATATTTTTCAGATATTTTAAAGAATGTCACCACAGATTCTCCATACCGTTTAAATAACTCTTTCCAGTTAATAGAACATATAAAACATAAAGTAATTCCTCCTGATTGTTCCTTTATGAGTCTGGACGTCATTAATTTATTTAATAATCTTCCGCATTATCTAATTATTACAGCTATAAAGAAAAGATGGATACAAATAGTTGAATTTACATGTTTACCGATGGAAATTTTTATTTCAGGAATAGAATTACTTTTAAAAGCATCATATTTCACTTTTAATAAAAAATATTATACGATGAAGAGAGGTTGTCCAATGGGCAGCCCATTAAGTCCTGTTTTAGCGGATTTAGTATTACAAGATTTGGAAAATCATGTTTTAAATTATTTACTTTCCAAACCTGTGGTTTATTTCAGATATGTCGATGACACATTAATATTACTTAATAAAATAGATATAGATAATGTTTACAACAAATTCAATGAGTACAATTCTTTTTTACAAATCACTCAGGAACTTGAAAATGATTCGACGTTACATTTTCTTGACGTAAAACTCATTAATAGAGGCGGTGTATGTTATACAGACTGGTACAGAAAAGATAGTTGGTCCGGGAGATACATTAATTTTAATTCGCATGTTCCTCTCAATATAAAAATTTCTACCATTCTAAATCTTGTAGATCACGCTGTTTTATTATCTGATCCTCTGTTTTATGATACAAACATAAAATTAGTTAAAACGATCCTACTTGGCAATAATTTTCCATATAAGTTAATTTGTCCAATTATTAAAAACAGAGTCGCAAAATTACTTGAACCTTTTGATAAGAAACCGGAAGATCTTGGCAAAACAAGTGTTCCTGAAAAAACTTTTTTTATTAATTTTCCATATCTTGACAATAATTTTAACCAATTATCAAAAAGACTTTTCAAAAAACACAATATTCATATTACTTTTTCTTTATTGAACAAATTAAAATTTTTATATTCCATCATTAAAGATGAAACTCCTTTAACAAAAAAGAAAGATATAGTTTATAAAGTAAATTGTTTGGATTGTAATTGCTCTTATATTGGCCAGACTTACCAGAACTTAGAAAAAAGACTCAGGCAACATGAATTACAATGTGAAAAAATAGATAACAAAAAATTTAAAAGTACAATTGTGGATCATGCTAATATCAACAACCATAAGTTTGATTTTGACAATCCCCAAATCTTATTCCATGAGAAAGACTTATTTAAACGGAGCATAGCAGAATCAATGTTAATAGTTCGGACTAACAATAGCATAAATTTGAGAACCGACACAAATATTTTACATGACACTTATATAAACATCATTAATAATTTATAATTTTTTCATTTATCTTATTCTTTTTAATAAATTGATCTGTTTTTTCATATTTATCGATTTTTGGATGCGAGCGCTTTCCTTTGTTTACATTTTAATGTTACCCATCCTGTCTCCGTTAGATACTTCAGTTTTGTTTCGAATAATTCTGTAAATGTCACATGTCAGTTAGTACCGTGTCAAGCATTGATTGAAACAATTGTCACTTGCCAATGCAAGGAATAGTTGATATTTTATATTAAAAAGTCAAAAGTATAGTTTTAAATAAAATATTAAAGAATGTTTAGTAATAAGTAACTGTTATTGAAATTACACTGATGATGAGGCACACATTGGTCTCGAAACGTTTGTAATCATAAAATAAAGTTGTGTTAAACAAATCTGAGTGCTGTTTTGTTCATATTAAACAATTAATATATATACGAGGTGTGTTCAAAAAGTACCCGGAATTACTAATAATTAAATTTATTTATTATTTATATATATATATATATATATATATATATGATTGTTTTTTATATATTGATATATATAATATATTGATATTAGATAGTTTGTTTATATATATATATATATATATATATAAGCAATTTGTTTTTTGAAGATGTTTAATAATGACGTTTCGGAACTAGATGCGTTCCATCATCAGGTTTATTCTGTCAAAGACAATGTTTTTAAAATTATAAAGGAATGGATTATGAACCAGTGTAAAGAGTAACAAAAATTAACTAAAAAAGGTTTTATATAAAATTGAGAAGCAAAAATTATTTACCTGTAACAATTTATATATCCATATCACTAATATTTTTTGTTAAAAACACTCGATTTTTTCGGAGGATATTTGTAAATGTTTTGACTTCACAACACTTTAACACACTGTTATAGAGTTCTGTAGGCCAGATGTAAGGGATATGTACGGAATTTAGTAAATACGGAATATGTAGTCATCTGAAAAGTACAGCAAACCTGTATGTGCGCGTAAACAGTGACACAGCATGGCAATGAACTGTCATGTGAGTATCGTCGGAAACGACAAATATTTTACTAGGCGATTCAACAACAAATTCTGAGATTATTGAAAATCATTTAAAATCTATAAATTGTGTGAATTATATACTAAATGCCAGTGCAACCGCTAGTAGTGTCGACTTAGGAATGAGTGTGGACGTTCCTACCTATGCAGGGCCCATTATCTCTTTCCCTATCTATGGCAGGGCCTATTATCTCAGAACAAAATCCTTGTTCAGAAGGGCTACTTAGGGGTCCATTTGTAGTCGCAAATTTGGCGCTAGTGAGCCGATGAAAAAGTATAAAGATTTCATTAGAAATTGCTCTCAAATGCATAGCGCTTTGACAATATGAAGAAAACATCTTCAAACTCATACGGAGGTCAATAATAATACACTTTAATGAAAGAGGCCAGTTCTAGTCAAGTGTGTAAGAAATCAAGTATAAGCTTCTACAAGAAAGACATATTACACAAATAGAAAGTTTCCAGCTGTTTAAAATTGGATTTTGGATTACCTCTTCACACGGATCTGAATATACTTGGAAGAAAATGAAATGTCAAATTTTGCACGAGATGATTTTTAGTTAATGAAAGTTAATAATGACAGACGATGTAATGAACTAACACTATAATGCATTATTTACTAAATTTCACTTAAATATTTATATTAATAAGTAGAAAAAGTGTAGAAGTTATTCCAATAGATTAGATGTGATATCTATTATATATAAATTTGTTGATTTATATTTCGATTTGATTGTATATTTATTATAATATAATATTATCTAGTATATTTTTGTTATTATTGTATTATTACAAAACATAATACGATTGTAATACCAAATTTAGTTTCAAATACCCGTGTACTAATATTCATTAATTTTCATTTCAAATTTTGCGCCATTAATTTGAATGCCAAAAGCAGCGCCATCACGTCGAGCGGAGGACCCTTTATGTATTCCTTCTGAACGAAAAATTGGGAGAGAGAAATTTCTATATGAGCACAGGGTATTCTAATATTATATAGGGTTCCTACCGTCAACCTAAATAGCGTTGCTGTAACTTCCGTTTGATATAACAAAAATAATATTAACAAAAAATCACAATAGTGGACAACAATTCTTTTAAAAAAACAAAAACGTGATGAAGCCTATGATACGTTGTAGAGTAGCTCCTCGCACAGTTGCATGCATAAAGCAGTGTATATAATAAAAATTTAATCACAATACATTTTGGGAGCAAGCTAGGGCTCTTTTATAAGAAAGGCAAGGCTCCTCTAACTTTTCAGATTTGTATTAAACTTTGGAGGCTCTTAAATATATATAGAAAAGCATGAATAGACTAGACTTTACATTTTTAAGAACGCCACTGAGTTAATGAACGAAATCCAATTGCAGTGCAAGTTGATAAAATAAGTTAATTTAATGCAGCAGTTTTTTTAATATTCAAGATAATGTCAAGAGCCACTTAGCACGACTGGATTTATCGCAAACAATGTGCTGAAAAGTGGCAAATCTTACTTGGAATGATTATTAGTTATTAACGTAATGCACGGACACTATAATTTACACACCATATTTTGTATTCACGATATAATTGGTAGTGAATAATGAATGATTATCCACTTAAAGGCAGGAATCCTGTAATTTTTTAAACTTTATATTTTTCTTGATTTATTTATATAAATATGTTTGTTGCAACATATTGCTATTTACTTTTCTATTTTAATATATGTATTATTGTTTGGTATGTTTTGTTATTGTATAACAATGTCAATATAGAAGACTATTGTAATGCAAAATTTAAATACAAATAAATTATTTTTAAAATTGACAATTTTCTTTTATTTCTAATCTTGGCGCTTAAATTTGAATGCATTTCATTTAGGAGCACGAGGCTGCCGAGCGACATGCGATTAAAGCGCCATCACCCAACCTTGCGTTCGTTACTTTCCTTAGCTCTCTGAACGCAAATACCGCAAGAGAGAAACGTCTATATTAGTATATTGTCTAGGTCCTCGCAGACTTGTTGACAGATGCACATGATGCCTCTGCGCATTTATCATTTATTAGCTATTTATAAGGTCTATGGTCAAAATTCAATGGCCGGTTAGCCATTGTTTATCTTGTTTATCTATGGGTTAGCTTGATTTAAAGGTCTTTAGCAAATGTTAAAATCAAACAAATTTATAGGTTAGCAGGTGTTTATATTTTAGTTTGATATTAAAATCAATAGGGATTTGTTCGCATTTTAAATGTTTTAAGAAATTAACTTTAACCTGAGAAATAGTACTTACTTCGGTAACAAAATAACGTGTTAATATCTTGACCGGTATTGTTTTATGCACTAATGCTATTAATCAAATTAATAATCCTAGACAATATTAGAATACGATGTATTCATAAAGTGATAAAATTAAATACTAATATTGTTTCTTTGCTACTTCTTTACTCTAAAATCAAATTCTAATTATAAAACAAATTTGAATATTAATATTTATTTTACAATTAGTGTTTTATTGTTAGAGCAATTTTTTCATTTTCAGAATACAAGGCATTTTAGAATAAATCAAAATGGATATAGACCTGTATGATGAGTTTGGTAATTATATTGGACCAGAACTGGAAAGTGATGCTGAAGAAGACGATGAGCAAAGCATATATGGTCAAGTCGAACCAGAGGATGTGAGTTTAGTAAATAGTTAATCAAAATACATATCTTCCAATTTTTAACTCACTCTTATAATTCATTCAATGTTTGTACATCACATAGGGTAAACTGTGAAACTGTAGAAGAAGTAATACATAATTATATATAATATAAATGTAAACAAGTTTGAAAATAGAAACAAATATATTACAGATGTCGGATAGAAATATGATAATGTATAAAAATAAAAATCCATTGTGTCCAAAAGTGGAATTTTAATTTCACTATTTTATTACGTTATAAATTATTTTATATTGATAATTCAATTTTATTCATTTTTTTTAGGACGATGCTATTGCAGATGAAGATGAACATGTCGGAGAACAAGAAGGTACAATGTCTGTTGTCTTGCATGAAGATAAAAGGTATTACCCTTCAGCTGTCGAAGTATTTGGACCTGACGTAGAAACCATAGTACAAGAAGAAGATGCCCAGCCATTAGATGTTCCTTTAATGGAACCAGTGAAAAAAAAGAAGTTTCATTTAAAAGAACAAGAATTGCCAGAGACTGTTTATAACATGGAGTAAGTGTTAAGTAAAACTTAATAAAGAATTTCACTCTGAATGGATAATTAAAATGGATTGGTATAATAATTATTTTAATTTCTTATATTACTATTATTAAAGTGTTTGTATGATTTTCACCCAGATTTTTAGCCGATATGATGGACAATCCAATGCTCATTCGTAACGTTGCTTTAGTAGGCCATTTGCACCATGGAAAGACTTCTTTTGTTGATTGTTTAGTACGACAAACACATCCCACATCCTTTGATGTAGCAGAAGAGAAAGATGTGAGATATACTGATACATTATTTATCGAACAAGAAAGGGGTGTCAGTATCAAATCCACACCTATCACATTGGTTCTGCCAGATATTAAACACAAAAGCTATTTGATGAATATATTTGATACACCAGGTAAGATACATTCAAAATAAACTTTGCCACATACAATATTATTTTTTATACAATTTTTATTTCAGGTCATGTAAACTTCTCTGATGAAGTGACAGCAGCCATGCGTTTATGTGATGGTGTTGTGTTATTTGTTGATGCAGCCGAAGGTGTACTTTTAAATACTGAACGAATTTTGAAGCATGCTTTGCATGAGAGACTTGATATAGTTGTTTGCATTAATAAAATCGATAGATTAATGCTAGAATTGAAATTACCACCACTTGATGCTTATTATAAGCTGAGACATATTATTGAAGAAATTAATGGTCTTATGACGTAAGTGAATATAATAAAATTTTTACTATATAGTTTGTTGTAAAGCAATACATGTGAACACCTAAAATTGAGATTTAGATAATTAAATAAAATTTTCAACTGATTATTTTAAAATAAAGTGTTTGCTTTGACTCGAAACTAAACCGTGTGATTTTCGATTGATATCTTTTGAAAATACTTATAATATATGTAACTGTAAAAAATATAAAGCACAAATACATGCTTGTTTGTTCTAAAATATCACATTATTCCAAATTTTAATGAAATTTTATAAATGAACCATTTTTTATAGCACTATATTTTAGGTTTTTTTCATTAAAAAGGCATAAACACATTTTTAACTTAATTATAAGAAAAGGCTCTGCCAATCTTTGCCAAAAACGATTCAGCACGATTTACAATATCTTCCGATCAGTTTTTAAAATTTTAAAATAAGTTAGAGTTTTTGTGAAAACATAGTTAAAAATTTTACCATTTTCTGCTAATTACAATAAAAACAGCTCAGAAGACTTTTAAACAACTAGAAAAGAGGTCAAAAATTGACTCACATACACCCACATAAACTTTTTCCAATTTTGATATCAAGGGATTCATAATGACTTGAAATTTCTATTAAACATGAAAAGATTTTCATGGAAAAGAAAGTTGATATTTATTTTATTTATATTACAGATGATTGGTTTTTAAAAGTTTTAATATTTTTTTCAAATATAACTACTTATTTCATTAATTTTGAAAAGGTAAATATAGATGATGAATGAGAAATGTTTTTCTTATAATTACAGATTACATTCTAAAGATGATGCACAATTGATATCACCAGCTTTGGGTAATGTTTGTTTTGCAAGTTCCCAGTATGGAATGTGTTTCACATTGAAATCATTTGCCAGCATTTATGAGCAGTTTTATCCAGGAATTAATGCAGATGAATTTGCCAGAAGGTTATGGGGTGATATCTACTTTAATAGTAAAAGGTAAATCCTAATATCTACATTTTAGACAATGTTCATTGCTTAGAAGTAATATGTGTGTATGTCTAGTTTTCTTTCATTATATAAATTGATTGTCTCATTTTATTAGTTCTTCCAAAATGTCTTAATATGGTAGAGACACAAAAATCCAATTTTACTTACAATAATTATACTGTAATAATAATTACACAGTAAAAATTCAATAAACTACATCACAGTGCATAATATGTATCAATCAAACTATGGAACTATTTTCAGTAAAATTTTCAGTTAATTTATTATTGTAAAATATATATTTTATATTTTTCTCCATGTGCTGGGTAAACAAACAAATTAACAGACAGGAGGCAAAAATGTCCAATATTTTAATTTTAATTCCAAAGGAGTTTTAGAGAATAATAGCTCAATACATTTTAATTATTAGATTTAAAAATACAAAATCATATAATATAAAAAAAAATAAAAATATAAGATTATATAAATATATAATTTAAATATTAACTTATTATTAAATATGATAAAAAAACATCAACAAAAATTTCTATATGTATTTCTGTTTTACTTATCATAATCAATTTCACTATTTCTTGAAACAGGATAATCAAAAATAAGTTGAATACCATTTCTGTTTGAAACACATAATTCATGGTCACATTTTTTTGCAAATATCACACAGTATGCAACTTTTGCCAAAAATATTTATAATTAAAGCTATATTAACTTTTAATTTAATTTATCTCTCATGAAATTACTCTTAATCTCAATTTTCTTTTTTAATCTACTATTTGCATATTGTTTGTCAGTGTAAAGAATGAGTTGGATCTTTTTACCCCAACCAGCTTTTATAGAGACGAGATTTAAATAAAATTGGAATGCAACTTAAAAACAACAGTATACCTTGTGAAACAAATACTGGATACTTAAAAATTATATTCATGTGTCATAAACTACATGTATCGTAAACAACAGTTGACAACTAGGCTCAAAATCAAAAATGTTAACATCTTATTAAACAATCATAATGTGGCCTTTCAATTTCCTTTGCTCGTTTTTTTTAAATAACGAAAGTGTACCTTTAAGTTCCACTTTTTTATTTTACATAATTGAATTGCCAATTGAGTTAAAATTATTGTATAGCTTTTCTAAATTTCTATGTTATAATTTTAGTCGCAAATTCACCAAAAAGCCACCACATCAGACAGCTCAAAGAAGTTTCATTGAGTTCATTCTGGAACCATTGTACAAAGTTTTTGCTCAAGTTGTTGGCGATGTAGATCTTCAGTTGGCGGATTCTTTAGCAGAACTTGGTATAAGCCTAACCAAAGAGGAAATGAAGTTAAATGTGAGGCCTTTGTTGAGAATCGTTTGCAACAGATTTATGGGAGACTTTAGTGGCAAGTTAAAAATTATTACTTTATTATTTAATTAAATATTTTTAAATCTCTATTTTGAGATGTGCTTTTATTTATGTATTGTTGTAATAAAAAAAAAAAAAATTACAGGATTTGTGGATATGTGTGTGAGGCAAATACGTTCGCCAGTAGATAATGCCAAAAACAAAATTGATCACTTGTATCTTGGGCCTAATGATAGCAGGATTTATGAAGATATGTTGAAATGCAACCAAGATGGAAAACTAATGGTTCATTCTAGCAAAATGTACCCTACTGATGATTGCACATTCTTCCAAGTAATTGAAAGCATTTTATTTAGATTTGATTTCTAATTTTGAACCAATGTAGAGTTTTATTCACTTTTAAAGAGAAATTTGTTTTATTAGTAGAATAAATATTTATCAGTAATTAACAATTAGCATCCAGATGATAAAATAAATGCTATTTTTAACTGTAAATTGTCATATTTGCTAGTTTAATAAGTTTTTCTCAATTCAATTGTCTTTTTATACTTTTAATTAAGCTTTATGAATTAACAAAATGCACATATATATCTTATCTTGAAACAATTTAATGAACATTCCAAATATTTTGATTAATTTTTGTTTACACCGATCACTGTAGAAATAAACTGATTATAGTGATATAACTATGATTAAAATTTATTTATGCTCTTAGGTTTTAGCTAGAGTTATGAGTGGCACATTATATGCAAATCAGGAAGTTCGAATTTTGGGAGAAAATTATACATTGATGGACGAAGAAGATTCTAGAGTTCTAACTGTTGGCAGATTATGGATATATGAAGCCAGGTATTATAAACTTACTACCATTCAGTTTTTATCATAGATTTATCACAAAAATCTTTTATTTTGTTTATTAAGATATAAGGTTGAAGTAAATCGCATTCCTGCTGGTAACTGGGTTCTCATAGAAGGTATCGATCAACCAATTGTAAAAACAGCTACTATAACTGATTTGGATACCACAGAAGATGTGTACATATTTAGACCATTGAAATTCAATACACAGTCTGTTATTAAAATAGCTGTAGAGCCAGTTAATCCTTCAGAATTGCCAAAAATGTTAGATGGATTAAGAAAGGTTAATAAGTCATATCCACTTCTAACAACAAAAGTTGAAGAATCTGGAGAGCACGTTGTTCTAGGTTAGTGAAATTTATTTATTTTTATTGATTATCTATAATATATTTTATTTGACGGTAATGTAAACTTCCCAAAAGATAAGTTTGTTTTTGCCAGAAATTGCCACCTGTTAATTTTGCGTTTACTCGAAGTTGCAAACCATTTTGAATGAAGCTCGATAGTATGTAGCATTTGCATGTCGACTATCCTTTGTAATTAGCAGAATTTAAACCATTTGTGGTAAATAACTTACATGTTTGGAAAATTTGTTGAAATTGTATGGTAACTCGGTATACTTAGGAATCACTCATAAATTGATATATAAATTTTTGTTGATTATTTATACATAGCGAATAGTCATGCAATTTGCCTCAATGCAAAATGCTACTCATATTTATTTTAATGTTTTTACAGGTACTGGAGAATTATATCTAGATTGCGTTATGCACGATTTGAGAAAAATGTACTCAGAAATTGATATCAAAGTGGCTGATCCTGTTGTGTCATTCTGTGAAACTGTTGTTGAAACAAGTTCCTTAAAATGTTTTGCTGAAACTCCAAATAAAAGAAATAAAATTACTATGATTGCCGAACCTCTAGAAAAAGGTTTGGCTGAAGATATTGAAAGTGAAAGTGTTAGGATCGATTGGAACAAAAAGAAATTAGGAGACTTCTTCCAAACGAAGTAATAATATAATAAAAACAATTGACTACTTGCTGAAATATTATGAATAATATAATGTATAATTGTTTATTTCAGATATGACTGGGATTTGCTAGCTGCTAGATCTATATGGGCTTTTGGACCGGAAACTACAGGTCCAAATATTCTTGTTGACGACACATTGCCATCTGAGGTTGACAAAGGACTTTTGGAGTCTGTTAAAGATTCTATTGTGCAAGGTTTCCAATGGGGTGCGAGGGAAGGACCTCTTTGTGAAGAACCTATTAGAAATGTTAAATTTAAAATTTTGGATGCTGTTATTGCTGACGAGCCATTGCATAGAGGAGGAGGTAAGTTCTTTTATATACTTATTGAATAAGAAGTTACTAATTTTGATAGATAATCCGACATGCTACTTTTATGTTTTCTCTCGGGGGTGTCAAATCGTTCTGAATCATTTGAGAACAAAACTGTAAAAATGTATAGATGTGAATGTAATGGCTGCTTCTATTTTAAAATTTTGTAAGAAATTTGATGTAGCTCAATAAGCACTTGTTTCGAATAATTTTGTGACATTATTGGATGAGTCGTTTCTTTAGAATTAATAGAAAATTGCATTTGTTAAGTTTTTCGTAAAAAATCCTGAATCGATTTTGAAAATTTAAAAGCCATCCGAAAGACATTAATCGTCCGGGCCGCTTCCTCTTCGTAATTGAATGTAAATAAAAATTTTGGATTTTCAATAAAACTTAACACTCGATAGAGTTCACGGCTTAAACAACTGCAAAAATGGTTTACTTATAAAAAACTACTGATGACTTGAATGCATTTTTAGGACGTACAAGCGCGGGTCTGTGCCAAGACGTGATATTTTTACGTAGAGTTATTTTTATTCCACTTTTTGGTGGTATTATGACGACACGTCATTGGGCGTGTTACTACGACAGCACACCGTAGTAGGGTGTTAACCATTTGTTCCTTTGAAAAATGTTGTTTAATATTAATAATTAAAATATTATGTTTTGTAGTATCACAAAAACTCAATTTTATTGAAATCCATAGACATTATAAAAGATTAAGGGTAAATTTATTAATTTATTAAAACTCAAATTGTAAATTTTACAAAATTTACAATATTACAAATAACTATGTTACGGGGCGCTTCATACTAATCATATTTTTTAATAATTACCTCATTTATTGTCAAAATTGTAGTTGTTTTCTTTGATGAAAGTTTTTTGCTAAGTAAATGTCGGCTTTATTTTTTTAATAGCGTTTATTTTTGGTATTTTCGTATTATTTTTTCCTATAGAAAATGTATTTATGTCTTTTCAATTTTGTCATCTATTATATTTAACAAAATATCTTCCTTTGAACTGCTGAATTCAGAACCCCCAAAAGACCTGAAATATTCTAGGAAAACGATTATCATTTCACCAACTTCGAATGAAGGTAATTTATTAACTTTTGGTAGGGTAAGTTATAGTAAATAGGGAAAGCATACCGGTATACCGAATTACCGGTAAACCGCCCGATTTTTCGGCAGTATTTTTACCGATATTTACCTCAAAAACTCCGATATTTTCGGTAATTTTACATAAGCGCTATTTGATACATAATACACAAAAGCTTAAATTTCTCGGAACAAATTTATCTTTAAATTCCATAATCGCATAAACAACTATATCTTCAAGTGATTTTATAGGATAAACAAATGTCAAATATTATCTCAACTCGTCATTAAACTGAATATTTATTGCTTTACTAAGAGCTTCATATCGTGTTACAATAAATAGAATTGGACTGATAGATAATGGTGTTTGTTTGATCTTATGTAAAAATGTAACGGTTTTTTAAGTGATATTTGCGCAAAAATATTTTATATCATACAGATTACCTCTGCGTAATCTTTATTTTTTTCTAACTTTATACATAATAATTATGATAATTACTAAATATTTTTGCTTCTTATTACAATTATAAAATATTATCTTTCGAAAACGTTTCGAAGTTTGAAAATACTATAGAACCATCGCATTGTTTTAAATAACAATACTCAACAATTATAGTAACTTATTATTTATCTTGACAAAGTATCCGATCTTAAATTAGTGTAGAAAATTATTTTTTTTAAATATTGGTAAAATTTAAATTATGCTAATTTAACACATCGGATACACGATACAGACAATACAGTTTATTATAATTATGTAATATGATCTTTTGAGTTTTTGATCTTTCCTACTCATAAGTTTGTTTTTGGTGAAAAGTACTCAATATACTCGTTAGTGATAATGAATTAAATTGGATATAATTTTGTTAAATTATTATTTAAAAAAATAAACGTATAGTTTTATTTTATTGTTTTTATTGTTTAGTTGAATATAGTTGTAGTTGTATATACATTTTTTTAAAATTGTACTAGTAACTTTCAATTTTGTTTACGTTTGTTTAAATAATTTTAATACCGGTAATTTACCGGTATTAAAATGAAAAATTACCGAAATATCGGTATTGAAATTTTTCATCGGTATTGCATTCCCTAATAGTAATCATCCAAAAATTGAAAATGAAAATTTTTGCATATCTTCACATTTCGAAGGTTTCTGAACATTTTGGCATATCTTAGAAAAAATTTATGTGTGTTTGTGCGTATGTATGGATACAATTTTTGGTCCACATTTTCAGGCGTACTGATCAACTGATTTGAATAATTCAAAAAACATTCGTTGGAGAGACATGCTAAGATTTTAGCGTGGGCAGATTCAGCCGTTTCGGAGATACGCTGCTAAATTTGCAAAAATGTTAGTTTCTGAGAGAACGAAGCATCTGATTTGAATGATTCAAAGAACATTTTGCTCGTAAAACGATTTTTTTTTGCAAAGCAAAAAAAAAAATTTTTTTCAAAATTTTATTTAACTTCCCGTAGGGTAGTTATAGTAATGGGCCGAAAATCGAAAATGAAAATTTTTGTTTTCTCCACGTATTGGAAGGTTTCTGAACATTTTAGCATACCTCAGAAAAAATGGATGTGTGTGTGTGTGTTTTGGGTGCCCACATTTTTTCGTTCATGTTTTCGGCCTTTTAGAAGATACAGAGCTAAATGTACAAAAATGGCAGTGTTGACGAAATAATGCTTGTGTTGACGAAATAATTGCTTTTGGAAAAAAAATCCATTAATTTTTTTTTTTGAATATCGAAAACAATTCAGATTTCAATTTTAATTCTGGTTAAAGTTCTAATGCTCACTTATATACTTTAAGTGAATAATTTTAACTTTGTAATTTAGTTTATATCATTAATATTCCTCGAGCATTTCGTTACGGTACGGGAAGTTTCATCAATTTGCCTTAAGGCACGATGCGTAACACCACTAGTTTTTTTTTTTAAGTTCTACCAATTTTTTTTGAATATCAAAAATGATTCGGATTTTGGTTTCAATTCTCAATAAAATTCTAAAGCTCACTTATATACTTCAAAATAAATATTTTTAACTTTGCATTTCATATTATATAATTCTTAGAAACATGAGATAGAATCTTTTATTATAACACCGTTTTATTAATTTACCTTTTCATATAAAGGTATATAATAAAGGTCGTCGTCGGCTCTTATATTTTGTCTATAACAAATAATGAAAGCTCAGTATTTATAATAATCTATTTGAAAACATTTGAAATTTCTTTACGTAACGGAAAGCTCCTTAAGGCACGATGCCATGTACAACTAGTTTATTATTCATTGAGCCTCATTATCCATCCAGGGCCTTCGATCATTTAGAGTCATTCTGAATATTTTTTTTACATGTGATACATTCTTACCTTTTATAGATTTTTTCTCTATTTTTACTTCAATTTGATTATTGATTTTGTTTGCTTTATTTCTGAAAATAAAAATAATAATACGAAAAACATATCGTACAAATTGTAAATTATATTTTGAACTTGAAGAAATTTTTTTTTCAATTTGACGGGGATTGATGATTTTAGCGATCGCTGTTTTAAATAACATCTTTTAGGTGTATAATGTAATGCCACGCTTTTATGTGGTTTTTGACACTATGCCGTCCGGACAGACCACAGTAGTTTTAAAAATATTATTATAATTTGCTTGAAAATTGATAACATCGAAAACATCGACAATTTTGTACTTTTTCTGTTTATAGATATCATCTTAATGAACATACTAAAAGGCATATTAGTAAGTCTCATTTAATATTAAAAATTCCTCGAAGTTTGTAAAAAAAATTCGTTCACTTTTTCGAAAAAAGCCTGACCTGATTTTAAAAATTGAACTAGTGGTGTATGGCATCGTGCCTTAAGGCATATCGCTGGTACTTTCTGTACCATAATTAAATATCCCAGGAATATTAAATGATTTCAAATAGATTATTATAAATAGTGTAACTTTCGTTATTCTTATTTTATAAAAAGTAAATAAACAAAACTTAATCAATCAGATTTAAAATGAAGAACATTGTCTAATATTTCTTAGCATTATCTAAACTGAATTGCAAAGTTAAAATTATTATTTGAAGTATATAAGTGAGGTTTAGAACTTTAGTAAGAATTCGAATTAAAATCCGAATTATTTTTCGATATTCAACAAAAATTTTTTTTTATCAAAAAAATTTCTTGCCTCGAAAGCAATCGTTTCGTTAACACATGCAGAAAGTTTTTTAAATCATTCAAATCGGGTAATCCGTACGCCCGAAATCGTCGACGAAAAAGTGTCTCCACACGTTTGGACAAATTTGATGAAATTTTGTATGGGGTTATAGAGGTAATGGTCATAAAGAAACTAAAATTTCACGGCTCATTTTACAAAAAAAATTATCGGTATTGAATTCCTTAGTTAATATAATTACACATTGAAATGTAATAGTGTGTATTTGTATTGTTTCAAACCCACGCTGTTAATCATGAAATAGTTTATTAGACTATATAGAATTTACTATCTTTATGTGACATATGTCTTCTTCTTTATTTACTAACGTTTTTGGACCAATAACAATATAGCAGGGAGCTTTTATAATTAATTGTTTGTGATTTCGTTAGGTTTTATAAACAAAACACTGTTTCTGTCGCAATTTAAAATGTGTTCATAATTGCAGGACTTGAATTATATATGTTTGTTTGAATGATATTAAATGGAAATTGTTTTAATTAGTGTTTGTTAAAATCGCAGACTTTATTTTCAAAATAAACAGTTGAAAATTTTATCTTTAGCTAAACCTTAATTGTTATTAATTAATTCGATTTTTGGCATGTATCGGGAAGTTTATGCAACTGCCTCAAGGCAAAAACTAATCAGCAGGATTCCCGACCAATATCTTTCGAACGGTTTTTGAATTTTCAAAATCGATTCAGAATTGCGGGATAAAACGTGGGCGAGCCGTTTTTGAGAAAACGTCGATTTACGGTAAAAAATCTGTTCACACACACACATACTTTTTCTAAATTTGGTCTCATTCGATTCAGAATGGCCTGAAACGTCGAGAATACATAAGATTACCGAATCGGATTTTCAAAATATTCGATAAAAATCTAATTAGTTTATTAAAGTATTATCTTAATGTGTTTTATTTATACTTATCATTTCCTGGTATTTTTAGGTCAAGTCATTCCCACAGCGCGTCGAGTAGCATATTCAGCTTTTTTGATGGCCACTCCTCGTCTAATGGAGCCTTACTTATTTGTAGAAGTTTTGGCTCCTGCTGATTGTGTGTCTGCTGTTTATACAGTACTTGCAAAACGAAGGTAAAAGATTTATTTTACATTATGCAAACAAGTTTTTACTTCCTTTCGATCAAATTGTTTTCACTCTTTTGCTTCGTGATTTGCCTATAGATGACATCCAGCGTATTGTTTCAATATTTATGCGTTTATGAGAATTTTAATTAGTTATAGTAATTGTTAATTTCAAAATATATTTTTATTATTATTTTTATATAATGATTTAGAAAAATTAAAACATTTTGTTGTAACAAATTCTTGGCGGTATATAAATATGTATATATAGATACATAAATTTGAATGTTTTTATATTTTATTATTTTAGAGGGCACGTGACTCAAGATGCTCCAGTTCCTGGTTCTCCTCTGTATACGATCAAAGCGTTTATACCAGCCATAGATTCATTTGGTTTCGAAACTGACCTGAGAACGCATACACAAGGGCAGGCTTTCTGTTTATCAGTATTTCATCATTGGCAGGTAAATAATTATTTTATAAGTCATGTTTTTTATATGTTAGTGCTTTAGAGTGTCAAATGATAATTGTCAAATTGACTTAACTTTAGATTTTATTAATGCTACTGGTTGTTGTTCGAAAACTTTCGGTTATTTTTTTATTTTCGTGAAGAAAAGAGAGCACAGCTGCTGCTCAGAAAATCTTTTTTTTTTTTTTTTTTTGTTACAATTTATTTTTGTTAATCAAGACTTTAATGTCTTATTTACAAAATTGATATGAGCAACAAAAAATACAAAAAAATGCAATAAATTGAATATAAAATGAAAAAAGTTAAAATAAAAATAAAATAAAAACAGTAATACAAAAATAATAACAAAAATGAACTATGACGTGATTATGTATGCCGCGTACTACGTCAGGGCGCGTGCAGACAAGAAAAATCTGTATGTGAAGTATAAGGTGTTAATTGCTCAACAGAACATATGTGTGAGAATTAGTGAAAAATATTCCATTCTGGAGATTTATCTCCCAAAGATAGGAGGGCAAGGTTATGCTTTATCTTGTTAGTGATGGAGTAATTTTCCCCGGTTTCCCAACATTGTTTGAAAACGATTATGAAGCAATTTCTTTCATTTGGCACAAAGCTTTGCATCCAAAATTATCATGCTGGCATATTTGCTGTTGGTTTGATTAGATTACAAAGATACTCTGTTTGAAGTTTATTGCCAACAAGTAATAAAATTACATGAAGCAATAAAAAAATAACGTCCGAAATTGTCAATGGTAAAGGTATAGTTTTTCATCATGATAGTGCAAAGGCCTCATCACATTTGACAGCTGATGGGAAACTAATGGCTCGAAAGTGAAGTCATATCTTCCATGCAGCCCTGATCCAGCAGCACCTGAAAACCATTTGTTTACAAATTTGCATAATTCTTCACATTCTAAAACAAATGACGATGACTTTCACTCCCCCCTGCTTCAATAATTTGCTGAAAAGTACTAGAAATTTTATGAGCACAGAATCAAGCGACTGAAAGAAAGATGGCAGGAAATCATTGAGTAAAATGAAAAATATATAATTGATTAAAAACTTCTTGTTTTATTTCATACTACAAATCCGACATTATTTAGTTGTGATCGTATTATTATAATATGTACATTTACAAACAATTCTTAATAAAAATAACAGGATGTAAACAATGTAAAAGGATTGAAATTGCCCCTAATGGCCATAATTTTATCGGCCACGCGGTGTGCCAATAAAATTTAAAATTGGTTCATTAGTTTAGGAGTCCATTCCAGACAAATGTCAAACAACATTGTGACACAAACAAAACTTCTTAGAAACACACAGCTCTAAATATTAGAGCTAGATTCCCCGCTCTGGCAATTTGACATAGGGCAGCACGATGTTCATTTTAAATTGAAAATATACATCAAAATATCTTTCCAATTGAAAATAAGCCCATCTCGGGCACTGTGGTGTGAAAAGGAAATGGGAAAAACTGTCACCTTACTTCTTCCCTGAATCGAGTTTGAGTTTAACTATTACTATTATTATTGATTACGGCTTGCTTATGAATAAATAAATAAATAAATAAATTACTAACGATATGTCAAATGAAAAATCAGTACTAAAACATTTATATCGTTATAGATTGTTCCCGGTGATCCATTGGACAAGAGCATAATAATTCGTCCTTTGGAACCTCAGCCAGCTACACATTTAGCAAGAGAATTCATGGTTAAAACAAGAAGGAGGAAAGGGCTTTCTGAAGACGTATCTATAAACAAATTTTTCGATGATCCTATGTTGTTAGAATTAGCTAGGCAAGATGTACTATTAAATTATCCTTTGTAAGAATTAGATAAGTTTTGTGAAGAAGGTTTGATATTGTTTTACAGTATAAAACGTATATTTTAATTCAATAAAACTTTTATATATGTATACATTTTTTTATTATATTTGTATATGTATATTAGTGAGTGCCAACTTGTATCAAGTGATTCAAATTGCATGTTACTTGATTTCAATTAACTCATATCAAGACAAGAAATATTTACTGTGATACAATATGTGAATACAATGTGAAAACAAATTTGAATAAATATAAAAAATTGATAATAATAGAAATAAATACTTGAATTAAATCATGCAAGATATTAGAGTTGGATCGAACCATGCGAGTTAACAGCATGAATTGAATTCAAGCGACTCATGCAAGCTATTCAACTTCTAAACTTCTGCACAGATATAACAGAGCGTAATTGTCTTTGTGTTTGACAAGCGCTAAATACGTAAAATATAGATTTTTAAGTTTGATAACATATATTAATTCTATAGATTTATGAATTAAATTTGTTTTTGTGAATGAAATAATAGCAATCTTTATGATAATGTATTGATTTTTTTCGACACGATATTGATATGTACTAGTATTGACTTGTCATATAAAATGAATGACTCAATGACTTCAGTTCGGTGTTTAGACAAGTGTTCAAAAAATATCAGCATTTTCTAAAAAGGCGGTTTTTCAATAATCAAATTTTTCAAATAATTCCAGAATTTTCAAAAGTGTTCAAAAAAATTCAAAATTCTCAAACAAATTCTAATTATTCTTTTCTGAGCTTTTATAAATTTAAAAAAAAACGGTTGCTCTATGCGCCCGAATAAATAACAAAAGTTTTTATATATCTTTACGTTTGAAAACCTTCTGAACATGTATAATAATAATAATAAATGATAAATGATAAATAGTAGAAGATGAGTCTATGGAATGAGAGTCACCACAAATAAATGATTCCCTTACCCTTCGTCGTCTATCATTACTATTACTATTTATTTTTTACTATTTTCCCTTCCCCCCCTTTTCACATTTTTTAATTTATTTTTCTTTCCAAACTTCTGCTTTCCAATCCTGCGCTTCGGCTTTCAGTTTCCTGTATTTCCTCTTCAGAGTAAGTTGTCAATAAGCTGGATTTGTCTCCCATTCCTTTCAGTCCTTTTATTTTGCCTTCGACTACGTCGTGTAGTAGGCACTTTTTTCGCAGAACAGTTTTCGATCCAGTTTTCTTTTCTTTTCAGGATTGTGTTCAGTAGAGTATTTTCTTCGCCCACTCTTCTCAAGACTTCTTCATTTTTGTTATCTTGTCTGTCCACTCTATCGCCTCCATTCGCCGCCACATTTCAAAACTCACTGAAACTCACTTCAGGTAGATCTTGTCCATAGATAAACAAGTGGTGTGACCTTATACAATACAATTGTATAAGGTCTATGGTGTCCATGCCCCACTAGTCCACTAGTTTCGTTTCGACGTAACGGACGTAACGGGTGATTCGTTAACGGATGAGTAACTGATAAGAAAAAACGTTCGCTTATTCAACTCCAATTACTGTCAAATCCGTTACAGTAAGTAATGTTTGACATAACCTCGCCGAATACGTCTATACGATATGATAATATAATATATTCAGAGTGGCACATTTTTAATTTCACGAACGTTTTGAAAGCAAATGTGTTAATATGTTGTAGTATATAGGTGTGTTAATTTTAAAACTTCATAAGCAAAGACTTTAAATCAGTTAGGTTTAAAAAATAATGTGAAAGTGAATCCGTAAAATATATTTTTACCAGTTGACGTATAACCTATAATTTGCCGCACGTGGTGCGTGCTGAATAGTTATTTATTTTAATTGTCAACTCGAATAAGCTTAAAAATGGGTAAAAAGACTAAAATTGGAAAACAACGTAAAGATAAATATTATCAGTTGGCTAAGGAGACAGGTATGTTGTTAAATGAGTGCTCTAAAATTGTAATCAAAGTATTTACAATACATATTTTCAGGCAATTTATATTTTCAGATAATTTAAATATTTTCATACAAGTTACAATATTTTCGAACAATTTATAATACTTGCAAATAATAAAAAAGATTTTGACAATACACAACATTTTTAGACAATTTATAACATTTTTAGGTTATTTATAAAATTTTAGGAAATCAATTACATTTTTCAGTCGCTCCGCAATATATATCTAATTTTGTACAAAATGCAATAAAATTAGAAAATTTATGATTCATCTCTTAATTCACTTAAATTGAAAATATTTTTTCAGGTTATCGTTCAAGAGCTGCATTCAAATTAATTCAATTAAATCGTAAATTCTCTTTTCTTCAAAAATCTCGAGTATGTATCGATCTATGTGCTGCCCCTGGTGGTTGGATGCAAGTAGCCAAACAAAACATGCCATTATCCAGTATTGTTATAGGAGTAGATTTATTTCCCATAAAAACAGTACCAGGTTGCATTGGCCTGGTAGAAGACATCACTACCACAAAATGCCGTGTAGCTTTGCAAAAAGAATTGCAATCATGGAAAGCAGATGTTGTGCTAAATGATGGTGCGCCAAATGTTGGTAAAAATTGGTTGCATGATGCCTATCAACAAGCTTGTTTAACATTGAGTGCTTTAAAACTAGCCACTGAGTTCTTAAGACCTGGAGGTTGGTTTGTGACCAAAGTCTTCAGATCCAAGGACTACCATCCTTTGATATGGGTGTTGAAACAGTTTTTCAGAAAGGTTCATGCTACGAAACCACAAGCTTCCCGTACTGAATCTGCTGAAATTTTTGTTGTATGCCAATATTATGTAGCACCCGATAAAATTGATCCTAGGTTTTTGGATCCCAAGCATGTCTTTGAAGAATTAGAATTGGAGCCTTCGAATAAAATGAGTATATACCATCCAGAAAAAATTAAGAAAGCTAAGGCTGAGGGTTATCCAACTAATGATTATACATTACATCATACATTACCTGTTTCGGAGTTTATTAAATGTGATGATGCAGTAGAAATTCTTCAAAAGACTTCAGAGGTAAAATTATTGACAATATAATAATCTTATGATTTTAGTGCATTGCAGTTTTATATAAAGAATAAGAATTGAAATTTAGCTATTCGAACAAAAAAATTGTTTATTTTGGAAATATAATTTTTGCTTTTCAACAAAAATTAATTAATGGGATTTTCAATTCATTTTCAAACAAAGTTATTTTCAACTTATTTTCAAACAGTACTTGTAATTGCATTAATTTATTTTAATTTTTCTAACAAATTTTGTTACCATAGTTAAACAGAGAGATGTTATCAGGATGTAAGAGTATTTGATAAAGCTCTTGGAATTCACAGATATTTTATAGAAATAATAGTAATAATTTTTAGAAAAAAAAAGCATTACCAACTTAATATTCTTTTTGTGTGAACTTTTTATTACACCTTATTGTTAATTGTTGATTTTAAATATTATATATTAATTTAAAATTATGTAATTGTTTTTTTGTCAGATATCATTTGATGACAAAGAAATATTGGAACATCCTAAGACCACCGCAGAAATTATGGAATGCTGCAAGGACATTAAAGTCTTGGGTAGAAAAGAATTGAGGCAGTTGATTACATGGCACAAACAGATACGTGAATGGAAAAGTAGCTGTGATAAAGCGGTAAGCATTTTCATCAAACTTTCGGTCATGAAATTTGAATTATATAGCATGCATGAATTCAAGTTAACTATAAAATTATTATACATATTTGACATAATTTTTGTTTAACGTTTTTAGGATTCATCTGAAGAGGAACAAAAACAAACAGAGGAAAACAAAACATTAACTCTTGAAGAAGAAGAGGACCAAGAAGACGCTGCAATACAAAAGCAAATTCAAGAACTGCAGGTATGAAGTATTCGAAATATAATTCCTTATTTTATAAATAATATTTATACCTATTTTTATTTCAGGCTGAAGAAGAGAAAAGTTTAAAACGCAAAAAGAAACGTGCAAATAAAGAGAGACAACGCTTGAATGAACGGCTAAATTTAAAAATGGTTTTGAAAGACGATGAGGGTCCCACACTGGAAGAAGGAAATATTTTCAGCCTGAAACAAATTCGTAGCAATAATGTAAGTAATAAATAAGTAGTTTTATATATTTATTAATATAATGTGATGTTTCTAAACATTATTTAATATATTTTTTTGATAGGATTTAGAAAAAATGCAAGACCAGACGCCAGATCTTGTGGCGGAGTCTGAGGAGAGTTCTGATGAAGAAATTAAACCTAAAAAAGTTAAATATGATAAGGAGTCATATCATCTTGATAGCAAAGGATTGCCATATGCGGTAATTATTTAATTTATTTAAATATGTGAATACATTACAACATTACTATAATTAATTTAACATTATATAATTTTATAATTGTATACTATATAATTTCATTTTGAAAAGGGTTCTGAAAGTGAGATTGATCAAGATTCTGAATCTGATGATAGCGATAGCTCAGTTGATGGACTAGGTATGTCTTTTTTATTTAATAATTTATTTATTAAGTTCCCAAAGGAAAAGTTTGTTTTTGCCAGAAAATCTAGTTTGTTAATTTTGTTATCCCAACGTTTCACATCATTTTGGATCGTTGGAGACCAAAATTGGCAAAAGGTTTGTGTATATGTAAGCCAAAATTTGACCTTTCTTATCACCAATAATCGGTTCAAGACATTTTAAGAAACGCGGGCAAAAAATTGTGCACTTTCCTGATTCTAAAGAATAGTGTCGGATTGTAATGTGAGTCCTCATTGAGTTTCATTGAATGGTCTTTAAAGTTTTGATATTGGTGTAGTAGATTTGAGAAATTGTCGATGAAAGATCAAATTTCAACTTACAAATAAACACTTTTTACCAAATTTGCAAACGATTCCGAATGATTCAAAATGATAATAAAACATGGAATTATCAAGTCGGTTTTTCTACCAAAAACAGATATTTTTTTGGGATGTTAATATTGTGCTCACATTGTGTTTTTTAAATTATTGCTTTAATGATCCATCATTAAGGTTTGGGTGATTCTTCTGAAGATGAAAAATCTAATAAACCTGTAATCAAGCAAAAGAAATTAAAAAAGGTTAAAGGTGAAAAAAGAACACATCCTCTATTGACCGATTTGGATGAACGTGATGCAAAGGCAAAAAAAACACATAAGGCTGAATTATGGTTTACTCGTGATACTTTGCAAGGTCTTGAAGATGAGCAGGATGAAGATATGGAACTTGATAGACTAGTAGAGGATTATAAAAGAAAAGGTAATTGATCACTAATCTTATTAATTTGAATCTTGACCCTGTAATAACTAAGTCAATTATTTAAGGTTTTTGTTCTTATTTTATAATTTCTGTTTTGCAGGTGGAACCATCATAGGAGACAAAAATAAATCAAAACATGACAAGCATTCTGAAGAATCAGAAGACTCAGATGATGAAGACAGTGATTATGATATTGAAGAATTTACAAAGAAAAAGGGAAAATCTAAGAAGGAAAACGAAAAGAATGGTTTTGAAATTGTTAAAAAGGATTATGGTAAGAATATATATATATTGTTAGGAAAATATGTTGCATGAATATGTTTGAATGGATGTTTGAACATCGTGCGGGTCATTTCGGTCCTGTGCAGTTGGCAAGACTTGACCGTACCAACAGAGCGTATGCATGCGGCGAGAAGAAGAGAGTTGAAAAGTGTTAATGCGTTGAGACCGAAGAGAGGATATTGTTGAAATGAATGTTATAAAAGATTACTGCACAGTTTTGTAATTTAATTTATGTAATAGATTTCCTGGCAAATAAATAAATAAATAAAGACAAAAATATATACATATATGTTTATAAATACAGAAAAAAATTACATATGTTTACCTTTGCTTGCTTCAATCTATTCAAGAAACTAAAAAAATTTCAGTATAATGTTATAATATATACTTCAATTCCAAAGCCCTTCGGTTTGATAATATAAGAAAATAGGTGTAAATATTTACAATTAGATAAATTTTTCAACTATTTGCTTTGAAATTAGCTTTCGCTTGCCTTTCAAACAGACATATCTGTAATTGAATAAATTATAGCCCGTAAACAAAAGCTTCAATGTCCTAAAAATACAAGCCATTCTTCCAAACATTAATAAATTTTTATAATTGAACCACATTTTGTAAGACGCTAATATTTTATTTTATTAAGTTACTGTTATTGTGGTCCATTTGTAATAATAAAAAACCATTCTGAATCACAATAATTTGTATATAATATTTCTATTTCTATATATTCCAGGTCTAGATAAATTGAAAAAATCTGGTCTACATGAAAGTGATCTAGCATTAGGTGCTCTAATGGTATCGAGTGCTAAAGTCAAAAGAGATTTAATAGATGAAGCTTGGAATAGATATACATTCAATGATGATAACTTACCAGATTGGTTTGTTGAAGATGAAAAGAAACACATGAGGAAGGAGGCTCCTGTTCCTAAGGTAAAATGATCATTATTATTAAGGTGACCATTTTTTTTTTGTGTCAAAACCTGGGCTGCAACTAAATATTATTTAAACTAACAAATACTATTGATGGATAAATCATTAAAAATTCGTTTTTTTTATTTATGGATTACTTTAATCAGAATTACTGTTATTTTGTAGGACTTTATTATTTGATTATATGTTATGTTATATTTTATATTTTTGATCTATGTTTTATTTTTTTTTATTTTAAAAACTTGTATAAAATTCTGTTCAATTTTCTTCATAATTAGCTCATTCATTGGCGTCGGAACCGTGTGGGCTTGAGCCCATCCACGAATCTCAAAAAATGATATGGCCTAATATGTCTAAAAAAAACAACCCACTGCCTGTCTATCAAAAAAAAAAAGCCCACCCATCAAAAATTTGCTTCCGACACCACTGAGCTTATTGTTAGTAAAAATTAGCATTTGTGTTAGGCAGTGAAAAGGCTCATTTTAATAATTCTTGCCAATTTTCATAAAATGGAAAATGAAAGTTAGAAATTATTATTGTGAGAGGCTATTTCAAACCGCCTTTGGAGTTTTAAATTTGGTACTTTTCTCATTTTTAACTTATTGTTTCATAAGCATGCTCGTTTATTTTCGGATGTTTCGGATATCAAACTAGTTGGTTTGGTATTTAGCCTTGAGGCAAGTTACATGAACTTCCCGATATGTGTAAATAATCGACTTAATAAAAAAATAAAAGTAAATAATATACTTCATCAATCCTACTTTAAAAAAAAACGATAATAATTTTAGCAAAGTTTGACGAATTTTTAAAATTAAACTACTTGTCGTAAGGCCGTAATATTACAGTAAGTTCTTTAAGACCATTATGTATATCGCCAAAAAAAGTTCCATGAAAATCGGCTTAAATTTTTTTTTCAACAGTTCATTACAAGAAAACGGCTCGGTAGATTTTCACCGAAAATTAATCAGTACCATTCCCAACTAATATCTTTCGAACAGTTTTTGATTTTTTGAAATCGGTTCGGTAGGATGAGCTTAAATGTGGACGAAAAGTTTAACACTTTTTTTCAACAGTTAATTTCAAGAAAACGGCTTGGTAGATTTTTACCTAAAACTAATCAGTATCATTCTCTACAAATATCTTTCGAAAAGTTTTCGATTTTTTAAAATCGATTCAGAATTGAGAGCCAGTCGAACATTTTTTCACTTTCTTGCTATTTATAAAGAAACGGCTCAGCTGATCGTTGCACAAAATTGAGAAAAGATAATCCACATCGTAATATATCGACTGGCTTTTAAATTTTTGAAATCGGTTCAGGCGTTTTTGAGCAAACGTCGATGAAAGTTCTAATTTTGACAAATGCCAAAAAAACGATACTAATTTTTGCAAACTTTGACGAACTTTTAAAATTAAACGAGTTTTGTCGTAGGGCCGTAATATTTTAGTACGTCAAAAAAAAATTTTAATACTTTATTACAAGAAAACGGCACGGCCGATGTTTTCTATTTAGCACGATTCCAACCAATACCTTTGAACGATTTTTGAATTCTCAAAATCGATTCAGAATTGCGGGCTAAAGCGTAGACGAAAAATTTTTCACTTTTACAAAGAAACTGTTCGGCCGATCGTAGCGTAAAATTGATAAACGCTAGTCCCCATCGAGATATATCGAATGATTTTTAAATTTTTGAAATCGGTCCAGCTGTTTTTGAGAGATCGTCGATTTACGGCAAAAAAATCTGTTCACATACACACACACACACATACCTTTGCCAAATTTGGTTTCGTTGGTTTCGGCTTGAAACGTCGAGAAAACATAAAATTAGCGAATCGGAGTTTTTTATGAAAACAAACTTCTTCTTATAGGGAAGTTAATTATAATAAGTAGTATACTTAAATATTGTATTTTTTTGCAGGAACTTGTTGATGAATACAAATCAAAAATGGAAGAGCTTAATGTAAGGCCAATAAAGAAGGTTATTGAAGCCAAAGCTCGTAAGAAGAAGCGTTCTGTGAAGAAAATGGAGAAGGCAAAACGTAAAGTTGAAGCTCTTATGGATAATGCCGATGTTTCTAATAAAGAAAAGGCTAAACAAATTAAGCAGTAAGTAGCTATTTTGGTATATTTTGCGAATACAGAAAAAATCTTTTTTTTAAGAGTATGAATAAATTGAAAATCTGAAGTCTTACAAATGCGAATATTTAAAAGAAAAAATAATCATATAATTTTGCATTCCTTAACCCTATTTTGACCGTGTTTGGTCTACAATATCGCAATTGACACTGAGCTGCATGACATGTCTCTTTGGGAAAAAGTAAAAGTGATGTGTATAGACTTACCACTGTTTTCTTTTATTCTCCACAAGCATAACTACTTTTGAATTAAGTTAAATATAATTTCAGGATCTTTATGTGTTGCCAGTATGCCTTTTTTAATTTATTACTTCAAACTTAATTTCATTTTAAATTATCTGTTAACAGGCTGTATAGGAAAGCAAAGGCTGAACCCAAGAAAGATGTCACATATGTGGTTTCAAAGAAACATATGGCTGCAAAGAGACCAAGAAGGCCAGCTGGTGTTAAAGGCAGATACAAAATTGTAGACCCAAGAATGAAAAAGGATATCAGAGCTAATAAGAATAAAGCGAAACGAGATAAGAAAGTGAAAAATCCTAAAAAGAAAAAATAATTTAGTTTCACTGATGTACATATTTATTAAAAAATTATTTCCAAAATTGTGTTACATTAAAAAAAATACAAAATTTACAAGTTTAAACTGTTTATTAACGTTTTTAGAACATATAATCTAAAACATATATATATATATATATATATTTTGTATGATTCTGAATTTGATGTTGACATATGTATTAACAAAGTCTAATAATCGGGCATAACATCAATAAAAAACATGAATTTCTTTCAAAAATTTATTTTAAATCCATACGTTTCGGCTATAATCCTAGCCTTCATTCAGTGGAAATATTAGTTGATCTTAGTGTTAGATTGGAAAATTTAATAATCCATGGTATTAGGATATGGTAATGCACTACACTATGTATTATAAACATTAACTTGAAATTACACAATATTTTCACAAAATACTGATTTGAAAAAATCACAAATGAATAGTGTGTTATTCGTAGACTGGTTGAAGATGTAAATTTACATCTTTTTGAAAGAAATTCATGTTTTTTATTGATGTTATGCCCGATTATTAGACTTTGTTAATATATATATATATATATTCGATGTAATTCGATAAAGACTTACAGTTTTCAATAAAATATTGAGTGATGAATTGATCGTTAGGTACATTACAAGGATAAGGAGCGAAGACCTTTTCAAGGTGATTTGCAAAGATAATAGCCTTATTTTCTGCTAATCTAGACCAAGAACCATCATCAATTCTATTTGAAGATGCCGTTGGGGTTGGTCTTTTCATATATTTCGTGACTGTCAGATGGAATGGTCATACAGACAAATCGCTTAAGTAGGACTACATATTAGAGCTGTGAACCGGAACCGGGTCCAGCGCGGTTCCGGTTCTGGAACCGGTTCTGGAACCGGTTCCCAAATTTTGGGAACCGTCAACGGTTCCATTTTTTTTTTTTTGTTGCATTTAGTCACCAACAATATTTCATTTTTATATCCTATATTGTTTTTTTTCAATTCTAATTAATTTTAACACAACATTTCAAATATTCAAATGTAATAACTCAAGACATTATTTATTTTCATTTCAAAACTTAATTTCGATTTAAAATTAATTAACTTAATCGGATTAAGAAGTTAATCTATTATTACTTACGCGAAGGAGTACTTTGTTTCAGCCAGAAAATCTGACTAGATATTATTATGCTAATAAGTCGTTCTGTATTGTTAGAGACAACATTTGCCGTAAGTGTCATTTTGCCTTAAGCAGGACTTCTAATACCGTACTAAAATCTGAAAATTTTTAAAAAGGCAGGTCTAGCGGTTTCGGTGATCCAATAAAAGAAAGTAAAAGAAAAGTCATTTGGCGGACGAAATGATCATTAGACATATGCACATCAAATTAACGGATATTTTATAAATAATAGGAACAAATTGTGTTTTGGACAAATATATATGGGTTCCGTACCAATGTTTATCCTTTTGACTGCGACGCGGCGCTCACGCGCTTAGATATTATGTTTCTGCGCAGCTAACGTATCGCGATTAATTTGAACAAAGTGCAAAATACTTATTAAATCTAATCTTTAAAAAAGGTATTTTTTTTTCAAAAGTTTTACCTTCTCAAAAATCTGTTTTACAAAATTAATTTTTTTTTTTAATTAATTTTAATGTTCCAGCAATTTGCCTTAAGGCACGGTACCATGCACTACTAGTTTACCTTTCACTTTCTCACAAACTGAGCTGGTCCGCCGAACGTAGAATCATGAGAATTATCAGAAAAGTGCATAATTGTTCGTTCACCTTTTTCTTGAAAATCATTCGAAAAATTTGGGAATGTACTGATTAGTTTTGGCAAAGATTGGACGGGTATTTTCTTTGTAATTAATCGTTTAAGTCAATTTATTAATTTTGGTTAATAACCGAATATAAAGTTAACCGAATATGTACACTTAACTCATATGCAATTGTACACAGAGCCGTGCCTGGGTACGGAAAATAACATAATAGGAAAATATCAAATATGTTCTCGATTTGTAATTTTTATGTTTTCTCTACGTTTCTAGTCATTCTGAATCGTTCGAGACCAAATTTGTAAAAAAAAGTATGTATATGAGCCGATTTAAAATTTAAAAGTCATTTGATGTAACTAGATAACGACTACCGTCTGTCAGTTTTGTGCAACAATCGGCCAAACCGTTTCTAATCAACAGAAAAGTCTATAAATTTTCGTACATGTTTTAGCCAAAAATCCTGCATTGTTTTTATACATTCAGAAACTGAAAGATATCATTTGGAAATCGTGCTGATTAGTTTTAAGAGATCTCGGACGCATCGTTTCTTGGTATTTAATTGTTAAATATTCATATTAATATATTTTTACGATGATATTTGGCGATAGAGATCATCATCTCAAATATAACTAAATATTTCGATCTTACAGGTCGGTTTAATTTTCAAAATATTATCACAGTTTGAAAAAATTAGCAGCACTTTTTTACGTGAAGCAAAATTTCATCTTTTGTCGACGTTTTTTTTTAAATGCGCAATCTTATTTGAAAAATCGATCAAATTCAATAAGCACTCGTGCTGGTTACTCTTGCTTCAAGATCGGCCGAGCCGTTTCTTTAGGATTGTCAAAAGTGACAAATTTTTCGTCCACGTTATAGTCTAAATTATTTGATTATTTGATTAGTTTTTGTCAATGATCCGTCGAGTCGTTTCTCAGTTATTGATTAACAATTTTTTTTGGCGATTTTGGATCCTGTTCTTAATGAACATACTACACGTTTTTTTCTTGTCCAATAATATTTAATTTTGAAACCATTTATAAAAAATAACTAACATGTTTAGAAAATTTGTACAAAATTGAATAATCTGCGACAGTTTTTCACATTGCAATGCACTCATAAATTAATATTTTGTTTATAGTTAAGTAGATTATTTACACGTGTTCAAAAATTCATGCAGCTTGCTTTAAGGCAAAGTTACACCTTACACCAAGTTTATACTTTTACTTTATACACTTATTAATAATTTGGAAACAAAGCTTTCAAAAGCCGCTTTTTAATACGATTTCGCTTTTAATACGGCCGCCTTCGGCTGATTTTGACTACGGTCGTCTTTTAACTCAGCGGAGTTTCAATACTGCGGATGAATTCAGCGGACTTTCAATTTGGCCGCCTTTTAATTCAGTGGACTTTCAATGCGACCGCTTTTTGTTATGGCCGCTTTTCGTGTATGGCCGCCTTAAATTTTTCATTTTTTGATTTGACCGCCTCTAGGCCGCCCTAAAAGGCGGCTATTTGTATTTGGACAGAAAGAGAGAGCGGCGCTTCTGCTAATGCTTGAAAGAGACAGAACAAGCGTTGAACAGCGGCACGAAACGCGTGCCACGTGCGAAGAATTTTTTGTACACAGGCGAAGCAGATGTGTGTGCGTGTAGACAACAATTTAAAAATTCAAAAGATAATTATCGACATATTGACAATATTTTGTCAAGCGCAAATTTATTTTTACATATTTAATTATTTTCGATAATAATAATTTCAATATAACTGCAGCTAATATTGTATTCGTATTGCCTATATCTAATATGTCTATGCATGGAACTATATAAAACACAAAGTTAAAAATATAAGTAGATATATTATAACATATGATTAATAATTTCGGAAAGTAGATTTTGCAAAATAGTATTTTTATTTATGCCAAACCGATTCTACAAAATAAAAAAAAAACATATTTTCCACTCCGATCGAGCAATACAAATCCGAAAAATATTTAAAAAAAATTAATTTTGGAAATGATTTCAATAAAACGTATAAAACAATACGCGACTTATCAAACAGATGCGACGATTGAAAGAGTCTTTATATATTACGAACAAATATTCATATTATTTGTTTAATTTTTAATAATTGTTTTGATGAAAATTTTAAATTGATACTTGTTTCCCGAATTTTTATGAAATTTGCTTGATTTATTCTCGATTGATCCATATGAAGAAAAATTTGAATTCATTAAATTGATATACGGTCTCTGAAACAAATATTTGTTTATATGAATGATTATAATAACATTTTATAATAACAGTTATCATAAAATTATTATATTAACAGTAAAAAGCTATACATTTTAAAATATTTCATACTAAAATATTCAACAATTATAAAATGTTATTATAATAACATTTTATAATAACAGTTATTATAAAATTATTATATTAACAGTAAAAAGCTATACATTTTAAAATATTTCATACTAAAATATTCAACAATTATAAAATGTTATTATAATAACATTTTATAATTGTTGAATATTTTAGCATGAAATATTTTAAAATATATAGAATTTTACTGTTATTATAATAACATTTTATAATAGTTGAATATTTTAGTATGAAATATTTTGAAATATATAGCTTTTTACTTCTGAAAATTAAACATTGTTATATGTATTCTTATGTCTTTAGCCCATAAATATTAATTTTAGGGACTTCTCCAAATCATACTTTGACACTTGTTTTCAGAAAGACCACCAACAATTTTCAATAGAACACCCGACTACGCAGAAAAAGCGTACTCTAAAAGTACGCTTTTGCTTTGAAATCTTTAGATATATATGTATTAGTACATTTACTAATATTATGATCATAAGGTCCACTTTCACAATGTTCGGTGCAAGAGTCGAATTACATAATGGGAAGAGCTTGGGTAACAAAATAAATATATGTATGTGTTGGCATAGTATGAAATTTTTATATTTCTATGAAGTTAACAATTTAGAAATTAACTTACTTTTTATGAAATAGACTAGTTATTTCAATTAAACTAAGGCGTTTTGTTGTAATACTTTTAATAAAATATTTTTTTAATACTATATGCAGCCAGTTTTGTAAATTCTCCTGATCGAAAGAAACCGCCTCTTGCTATGGATATCGAAAACTTTAATTGAGAAACTAAAAACTAAAGAAACTGAAAATATGCTTCAAAGTAATTAAAGTTATGTTTATTTTTGTAAGTTTTTAGAATATATTATTTTTTAAGTAAGTTTTTCATT